TTCACATACTTCTGGTATTATTGATTTTCTCTCTTCTACTTTGTTATTCTTTCTCTAGCTTCTTATGATGGGTATTTTAATAAAGATTTTAGCCTTACTTCATTTTAAATATATACTCTACATAAATCAAATAACATGCTTAAAGGCTATACATTTTCCTGTGGGCATGGCTTTGACCACAATCCACACTTTGTGATATAGTGTGTGTTTATTAACATTCTGAAAAATATATCTTCCAATTTCAACAGTGAAATGTTCTTTGGTTCAAAGGTTATTTAGAAGAATATCATTCAATTTCCAAATATTTTGAAAATTTCCACTTACTGTTTTTTGTTGATTTCTGTATTTCTACTATGGTCAGAGAAAATACTCCTTATGATTTTAATCTTTTGATATTTGTTGAGACCTGATTTCTAGATCAGTATTTGATAAAAGTTCTGTATGCACTTGAAAAGAATGTTTATTCTACACTTGTTGGTTGCATTGTTCTCTTTGTTTCACTTAGGTCAGGTTTGCAAACACTGTCATTAAAATATTCTATATTGTTACTAACCATTTTGTCCGCTTGTTCATCAACTACAAGAACCATATCTTAAACGAGTATGAACTTGTCTATTTATCCATTTAGTTCTGTTCAATATTTGTTTTCTGTATTTTCAGAATGTTTTTCATATATACCATACATAACACATACACGCACACTATACATAATAGTACATACAAACATAGATTTGCTGTACCTTCCTGGTATATTTACTCCTTTATCATTATGAAATATCCCTCTTTATCTCCATTAATGTTTCTTGTTTTGAAGTCTTTTATCTGTGTTAATACAGCCACACCAACCTTGTATTGGTTAGTGTTTTCATGGTATCATTTTCTATCCTTTTACTTTCAGCTTTTCTCTCTCCTTATGCTTAATGTCCATCTTTTGAAAGAATCATATAATTATTATTTATTTTTTAATCTACCCTGGCAATCTGTCTTTTAATTAAAGAATTAATCATTTTCATACAAAATAATTATGATATATTTTTATTTAAATATATCATCTTACTATTTGTTTTCTTTGTCTCATTTTATTCTATGTTCCCTTATTTGAATTAATCACATTTTTTGGTATCATTCTATGTCATTTCTCCATTAGGTTATATTTTTTTTAACTATTCTTTTCAAAAGCTATCTTACAGATTACAAAATGAATCTTTGATTTAATAAGGCAATAAACATTAGCACTATTATCACTTTCTGCATAATTCAAAGATCTTCAAACACAAACTCCATTGACCTTTCCAAGTTTTGTGCTACTGTTTCTATCCTAAGCTTCTTTCAATATAGAACAGTCAAGTCCCACCTCCTTCGTAACACTGACTTTTTAAAGAGACCAGGGCAGTTATCTTGCAGAATGTCTCAGCTACAGGATTCACTTGTTTCCTGCTGGTTTTATTTATCCTGTTCCTGTTATCCTCTATTATCCTCTATCCTGTTCACTTCCTGGAAATCAGAAGCGAGCTCGAGCTAAATTAGGTTTAGAGTAGGCATATTTAGCCAGTGCTTTGAAACTTATATTTTGTCACATCAGGGACATGATCATTCTAACCTCATAATGTTATATGGATTAAATGAGATGGCCTATGTCATGACTAAGATGGCATCTGACACATAACAGGGAAAGA